GAAGAGGAAGAGAAGGAAAGAAGGGGAAGGAAAGGGAGGGAAGGGAAGGAAGGGAAAGGAAGGAAAGGGAAGGAAGTGGAAGAGGGAGGGAGGGGAAGGAAAGAGAAGAGAAAGAGAAGGAAGGGGAAGTGAAGGGGAAGAGGAAGGAAGAAAGGAAAAGGAAGGAAGGGAAGCAGAGGAGGGAGGGAGGGAGGGGAAGGGAAAGGGAAGGAAGGGGAAGGGAAGGAAGGCAAGAGAAGGGAGGGAGGGGGAAGGCAGGGGAAGGGGAAGGAAAGGCAGGGAAGGAAGGATTTGTGATGGTTGCAGTATCTTGGGATCATGTGATCACCTTTTGCAACTTTCTGGCAAACAAAGTCAATGAGGATTCACTTAACGGGGTCACCTTGTAGGGGAGATGATGGCATAACAAGCAAACTAAACAAACAACCGTATTATTAACTTAACAACTGCAGCGATCGACTTAACAACTGTGTCACAAAAGGTCACCAAATGGGGGCAAAACTCACCGAGCAACTGTTTAGCGATGGAAATTTTGGGCTCAGTTGTGTCTCTCAGTGCCTCCCACCTTAGTTAAAATGCCAAAAAGATTTTGGATAGCCACTTGTCTGAGATGGTATAGGATCTTCTGTTTGAGCAGGGGGCTGGACTAGGAGATCTCCAAGCCCCCTTCCAGCTCTGTTCTGATTGTGTTGTGGTTAGCTGGCAGCAGGTGCAGACGAATGAGGAGAGCAAAGACTCAGATGAGGAGTCAAGACCATTAGGGAGTGGACTGCTGCCTTCAGAGATTGTGGGGGCTGGCAGCAGCGATAAGGAGGTTCCCGAGGAGCCTGTGCCAAGTGTGTGTGCATGCAGGATTGCTCGGAGGAAAGAGCAGTTACAACAGCATGGGCGACTCGGGAGTAAGACTGCAAGGTAATAGCCCCTCCTTCAAGAAGATAAAAGCCAGCTGTGAAGCGAACGTACTTTGCAGAAGGCAAAGACGTTTTGAACTCAGCCTCGTGGACATTCCAGTTGGTATTTGAAGACTCTTGTATTATAAACTATTTCTTATCTGTTGTGTTTTGGCAGACTTGCAAAAACTTGGCAAGGTTCTTTCTTGTCGGAGCTAATTAGTTGGAAGCAGCCTTTTATCTGTGAAGAAACAGAGTTCTTTTCTTCTGTGAAGAAACAGAATTCTTCTGAAACATAAAAAGGTTGTACTGCTGCCTGTGTCTTTTTGTTTGCTCTCTTGGGACCAGGTTTGGGTCAGAACAGATTCTGATTTTAAATAAGAGGGAATAACACGAAACACGATGGACCAAACCCACTGGAACTGAGCAGAGGCCTACAGGCCCAGAAACCATGGCTTAATCTGTCCTCTCCACCTTTATAAAATCAATTACTGGCCTTCATACACCCCTAACCCCCAAAGCTTGAACTGTCCATTGAACCAAACCAGAGAAAGCCATTTTATTCGGTGCCTGCTTGAAAGAAGGAAAGCTATGCGTCCTCTCCAAGGAACAGGGAATCTGAAATCTGACACTCAGGAGGAGAATGTAAACTAGGAAGGGCAAATGTGACAAGGGTAGATGTTGCTTTGACCCAGCTTTAGCAGAGCCAAGAAACAAACCCTCTTTTGTCCCCCCAAAAACCCCTCTTTATTTAGCTACTGTGCATTCATGGCATTCACACACAGAAAAGTCCAGGCAATAATCCTTCCAAGGGTGAATTGCAAGAACAGACCTTATCAGTTCCTTGGATTAATTGCCAGACTGGAAGCTTCTAGTTGCAAAGCTGTAAATTAAACTCTCTCAAGCAGTCAAGCAGAGACAGGAACCACAATGAGCAAATCTTCCGAAAGAAATCTGGTGTCTCTTAGGACACCACTCTCCTTCTGCTTCTATTTATTGCCCAGCCATGGAGGGGGCCATTCAGCATCCACATGTGCCTTTCTTCCTGAGATGGCCCCTGTCCCACAGTTGTTCTCCTCTCCCGGCAGCTCTGTACATACACGCATCTGGAACAGGCTCCAGCTGTTCTTCTTCCCCACTTATCTCCGACTCCTAAGGCAGCTGATAAATGTCAGACGGCCTTGGTTCCATCTTGCTTCTGATGCAGAGCATCCATCAGAGCCTTCCCCAGACTCCAGGAGTGGTCCACGTTCCGCCCCAACCTCTTCCTCATCCAAGTCTGCCACCAGCTCTGCTAGCAGCTGGCGAGCCACAACAGGTGTGTTCATTGGCATGAAAACCACAATGAAATGATGTCCGGTATTTGCATTTTCTAAAGCAAACAACCGGAAAATAATACAACACAGAGTATAAATTTCCACAAACTTTCTGGTTGAGAGGAAAGGCAAAGTGGGAGAACGAGGCCTATCATCCATCAAGAGGTCTTAAGAAGGAATGTTTGTATCTGGTCAAATGGATGGGTTTTGTATATATGTATATATGTATATGTTTTCTGAGGTTCTCGCGGGTATTTGTATGTGGATCTTTGGTTATTCGGGTTTTCTCCCGCGTAAGATTGGAAGTATCTAGGCAACGTTTCGATGAAGTCTCATTCATCATCTTCAGGCTTCTGTCTTCAGCAACTAAGACCAACCTGAGCACAACCAAGCCCCCACCTGAACAGAACACACCTCCAGCCAATCAGAACATGGCCAACCCCCCAACCAATCAGAACACAGCCAAACCCCCAACCAATGAGAACACACCCCCACCCAATCAGAACACAGCCAAGCCCCCACCCAATCAAGTCACACCCCCACTAGCAGTTAAAAGGAAGAAGCAGCTGCAAGCTCACATCACTCTGAGAAGCACAGAGCTGAAGACAGAAGCCTGAAGATGATGAATGAGACTTCATCGAAACGTTGCCTAGATACTTCCAATCTTACGCGGGAGAAAACCCGAATAACCAAAGATCCATATATGTATATATGTATATATGTATATATGTATATATGTATATATGTATATATGTATATGTGCATATATCTATGTATGTATGTATGTATGTATGTATGTATGTATGTATGTATGTATATATATATAGGCATCCCGTTCTCAAACCAGCCAATTGTCCATGCGATCTCTGAAAGAAGTCAACACAAGGACGTTTGAGGGACCACCAAGAAGATCTGATCACTGGAGGAGAAGAAAAGGGGATTTCCACCTCACAATGTCCCCACTTCTTCGAACCATCTTCCAGGTTGCGATCACTGCCCACAGCTTCATGGGTATAGTTGCAAGTGGCTTTATTGTGGTTGCCAGCTACTCAACATGGCTGAAAGGGAAAAAATGCGCCCACTTGTGAAGTCATCCTGATGTGCCTCAGTTTCTCTCGGATTCTCCTACAGGGGACCATCCTGCACTGCACATTCTCTTCCCTGTTATACCTGTGGAATGTCCATAGGATACAGACAGTCCTCCTGGTGTTGACCAGCACAGCTTGTCTGTGGTTTGCTGCCTGCCTCAGTGTCTTCTAACTGTGCCAAAATTGCCACGTTCACTCACCGGTACTTTGTCCTGGTGAAGCTGAGGATCGCCAAGATGGTTCCCCTGTTTCTGGGTGGGTCAGCGGTGGTCTCTTTGATTTCGTGCCTGCCTTTCGAAGAACATCACCGTGGAGGACCACACAGGAAGCATCTCCTACCTGAAGTTCTTCTCCATATATCTGATTTGGGCCATCCTTCCACTTCTGCTTTTCATGGCCTTGTCCACGTTGTTAATTGCATTCCTGTGGAAACACACTGAACAGATGAGGCAGATGCACCATGGGTTTGAAGGATCCGAGGACGGAGGCGCACGTCGCGGCCATCAAATCCCTAATCTCGTTCCTAATATTCCACGTCTGCAGCTTTGTAGCTGACGTACAGCTTGGGTTTCCTTCCTGCGAAGCGAGAAGAGGATGGAAAAGGAACACCTGCTTGCTGGTGATTGCTGTGTGCCCTTCCGTCCACTCCGTTCTGTTAATTTTCTTTAATTTCAGGCTGAAGGTAGCATTCAAAAGCCTCCTGCTTTACCTAGCGTGCCGTCAAAAAAAAAAAAGACTACAGGTAGTCCTCAAGTTGCAACCGTTCATTTAGTGACTGAAGCTTCAACAGCATTGAAAAAAGGGACCGTTTTTCACACAATCATTGCAGCAACCCTTTGGTTGTGTCATCAAAATCCGAATGCTTGGCTTGGAAACCGCTTCTGGACTTTATGCTTGAGGTGGGAAGAAAAGAAAGTGAAACCTTGATTTGGGGTTTTACCGATTATTTCTCTCTCTGGGCACAATGAGAATATATCTGCTGAACAAAACTCCACATTGGCGACAGGAAAGGCATCTGGCCATTAACACACTCTTCTAGCTCCATTCAGTTGCCCAGATTCCACCCCGCAAGGGATTATGGAGTCGTTAAAAGAGGATGATGATACGCTTGTTTTATAGAAATGGCTAGTTTATACCATTACGAAAAAGTAAAAAGTGGAGGTTTTATGTTATTATCTTATTTTACTGCACCCACGAGAGTTCAAAGTCAATGCCTTTTCTTTTTTTTCCCCTCTTTCCCAACACCTTCCCCTTCCCTTCTCCCTTCGCTATTTTCTGACTATTTTCATTTGTATTTTGTATTATAAACTAATAATAAAAATCCTGATGTTTGGCAACTGGCCTGTATTTCAGTGTCCCGAGGCCACATAATCAGAAGCGGTCATTCAGCAGGTTCTGACCCGTTCTGGAGAACCAGTAGCGGAAATTTTGAGTACTTCAGAGAACTGGCAAATGCCACCTCTGACTGGCCCCGCCCCCATCTATTCTCCGCCTCCCGAGTCCCAGTTGATTGGCTGGCTTTTCTTTGGTTGCCCTGCACAGGAGAACGGAGCTGGAAAGCAGGTTAGTGGGGTGGGGAGGGAACGGGGATTTTGCAACATCCTTCCCCTGCCACACCCACCAAGCCACACCCACCAAGCAATGCCACACCCACCAAGCCACACCCACATAACCGATAGTAAAAAATTTGAATCCCACCACTGAGCTGCAGCAATTCACTTAACAGTAGCAAGAAAAGTCATAAAATGGGGCAAAATCCACTTAATAACTGTCTTGCTTAGCCACGGAAATCTCGGACTCAATTGTGATCGTAAGTCGAGGACTAACTAATATTCCTAAGACTTTTCTGAAGAAAGAGAGGAAACAGAAAGGATGGCTCTTATACCTTGCATACTTATATATCCACATTTTATCCTCCTGGTGCATGTCTCTAGATGCTTTCTCAATTAGACGTAGAGAACTCCCCTACGAAATGCAGTTTCGTAAATGACTGAATTTTTTAAAAATTTGAATTGACTTTTAATGATTGAATAAAATTAAAGCTGCTGTTAGCATATAAATAGCCATATGCGGGACTTTGAGAGGACTGAATCCAATCAAGCATCGTAATTTAAATCAGCTCGCGATGGATTAGTTTGCTTTTTTAAAAAAATAAAATAAAGAAGTCATGTTTGGTTTTGGTTTTGATTGGAAGAATCAATGAAAGGAGATCAGAATAATGCTTTCATCAGGGCCGGGTTCTCTGGTTTGAAATTTACAAAAGGTCCAGCAGAGCCCAAAACTTAACAGTCGTGATTTTAATCTCTGTTCAGTGGAGAACCACAAAAGCCTTAGAAATAATATTCGCGCCAAGCTGGTTTCCTTCTCCAGAGGGAACGAGAATCTCATCAAGGGCCAGAACTCATCAGCAAAACTCTAAATGAGATGGCACCAGTTGTAAGAATTTTCTGTACGGTACATCTTTGCTTCCATTTGGGAGTTGTCCAAATGTTCATCAACCGGACTGGGTAGATCTATCAGCAAGGGGAGAAGGTGATTATTGGGCGATCCATTGTTATATACACTCCTTGGCAGATTGTTTTATTTTCCCGCCAGGTTTTCTTATGAAAGCTTTCTCGCCCTTAATTGGGAGGTATTACAGACTTGGAATGTTGAATGTATAGACAAGAAAGTTGAATGTATAGACAAGAAAGCAGAGAAATGCCTTAATCCATATTGGGGCTGGAGAGGACGCTTTTAAGTGTGGAGTCAACCCTGGTGGAAACTGACACTAAGTCAGAGGAGGAACAGCCAACAGGGAGTGGAAGTGTGGCTCCAGAGGTTGTGGAGGAGGCTGGGGAAGGGCAGAGGCCGGCTGGGCAGTCAGAGGAAGAACCAGGCCCATCCCCTCTCCATCCTAGGACACGCAGGGAGGAGAAGATAAGGGAGAGATGTGGTCTACTGAGGAGGAAAGGGCCTTGATCCCCTTCATGGGCTGCAGCTGTGACAACTGAATAAGAGGATGGACCTGCATATAGGCGAACGCTGGAAACAAAGCACGGAAATATCTCTAGTTTATGGTTCCTCTCTGAGTTTGGCGTCCATCCCAGTGTGTCTTCTGTTATCTGTGGACGTCCTCCAGCCCTTATCTTGCCTGGTTTGTGTTGTTTTTCTCTCTCCTTCTTGTAGCTGCTCATGTGGGAGTTTTTTTTTTTTGTCTCCAGTCAAGGATATTTGGAGCTTGGAAGCAAAGTGAAGGAATAAAAGAGGCTTCACCGGGTTTTTGTGACTGTGTTTGTTTTGTATCCCCACCCTGGGTCATCACAGTTGGAGACTATTTTTTACTACCCGAACTGGTAACATACCACCACCGATCTTGGGAAATGAAAGGGGCAGCCAATAAATGTTTGAAATAAATTTTCTAAAATAAAATATTTATCAGAATTATCTGACACAAACCACCAGAGCCACAAATGTATACTTAAAGTCAGTACACTTTATTGTCTACCACCTATATCTCACCAGATTGGTCATCTTACTCTGGGAATGACCAGATAAGCCTTCATCAATCTCAGGGGAGGTTTTGGCACTTGTGAGTCCAAGCTAGGTTCTTGCTTGACTCCTCCTTCCAGTCTAGCTGGTAGTTTCCCAACAAAATCTACTGGATATAAAATAATCCAATACTATTTATTTTTCCCCTTTTAAATTTGATTTAAAATGTTAACTCTTGACACCCCAAGTGACACAGATACCAGAAAGATGCTACAGGATGTGGCTACATTGCTTCCAGAGGATTTTAAGTCAATGGCAGATGCAGCCTCTAGTTTTCATAGATTCTTAACAGCTTAAAAATAGGGGTGATGTGGCCAACTAGGCATGTTTCTAGACAGGAGGGGTCTCAAATACAGTCCCCCCTATCCTAAATCCAAACCCTCAGTTTCATAGCAAGAGACATGTAGATGCAAGTATTCCTCACAGTTCTTTGGGATAAGAAGAGCAATCAAGAAAAAACAAACAATTTCCCTTTCTTCTCTTATATTACTCTTCTATTTACCATTTACAGTTGAGTAAACATTTAATTTTCATGAGTTTTATCTTGGCTACCATTAATTCAATGATTGCAATATATTCTCATTATTTTTATTTATTTATCCAGAATTGGACTTGGAAAAAATAACGAAAGCAACATGGGATAGGAGGACCTTATTGATTTCTTGACTTCAGAAGGATCTTTCAGATCCATAACTCAACACTTTTCTCAAATGTAGATTCCAAAATATCAGATACAATCTTAGCCAAACAACCGAAGAATTCATTTAGTGACCATTCGAAGTTACAACGGCTCTGAAAAAGTGACTTATGATGTTTTTGATATTTACAACCATTGCCGCATCCCCCTGGTCACGTGATCTAAATTCAGACGCTTGGCAAATGATTCATATTTATGACGGTTTGCATTATCCCTGGGTCTTTGCTTTCTGACAAGCAAAGTCAATGGGGAAGCCAGATTCACTTAACAACTGTGTGACTAGCTTAACAACTGCAGTGATTCACTTAACAGTGGTGGCAATAAAGGTTATAAAATGGCTCACTTAACAACTATCTCACTTAACAACAGAAATTTTGGACTCAGTTGTGGTTATAGTCAAAAAGAGGGCTATGAAAATATCTACAGACTCCTCACATCCCAGACATAAACTGTTTCAACTCCTTCCCTCAAAATGATGCCATAGAGCCCTGCACACCAGAACAACTAGACACAAGGACAGTTTTTTCCCGAATGTCATCACTCTGCTAAACAAATAATTCTCTCAACACTGTCAAATTATTTACTAAGACTGTATTACTATTATTCTTCTCATCTTCCTAGTATCTGTCTCTTCCCACTTATGACTATAACCATGTTGCTTGCATCTTTACAATTTATACTGTTTTATTTGTTCCCTAGTATCATTTGATTGCTTATTAGTAACTTATGACAATCACTAAGTGTTGTATCTTATGATTCTTGATGAATGTATTCATCAATTTTTTCTTTGTTTTCGTAGATTTTCACAGGTACAGGTATGTAGCTCTAGGTGTGTTCGGGTCTTTTCCCGTGTAAGATTAAGAGTATCTTGGCAACGTTTTTTCTTTATGTACACAGAGCATATGTACCAAAGACAAATTCCTGTTTATCCAATCACACTTGGCCAATAAAGAATTCTATTCTATTCTATTCTATTCTATTCTATTCTATTCTATTCTATTCTATTCTATTCTATTCTACTCTACTCTACTCTATTTTATTCTATTTACTCTACTCTATTTTATTCTATATTCTATTCTATTATCTATATTCTATTCTATTTACTCTACTCTACATTGTATTGTATTGTATTGTATTGTATTGTATTGTATTGTATTGTATTGTATTGTATTGTATTGTATTGTATTGTATTGTATTGTATTGTATTCCATTCCATTCCATTCCATTCCATTCCATTCCATTCCATTACATTACATTACCTTTTGCATCCATAATTTCACTAAATGTCCACCTGGAATTCGGGTTTGAAACTTAGGCATTGTCATTGA